CTGCAGGGCCAGCCTCTGGGGGCGCCCCAGGAGAAGAGGCTGGCCCTGTGGGTACATACCGGGTCCCCCAGGACCGCCGGGCCCATGACAACCGTTACGGTTGTCATGCTCTGATGGCGGCCCTGGTCTACAGTGCTGATGGTGTCAGGTGGAGTGCTTGGAGCCCTTGGTGAGCATTAGGAGCATCGATTGACGGAGGCACCCAGTTGGGGTGCCAGGCGGTCCGTCACAGTATTGCTTACCCAACAGGTCCAGCGACTTATCCGCTCAGTGACCTCCTTAGAGAAACGTCCAGATACATGGAGAGCCAAAGACGATGGGCACGAAATCTTCACTAATAAAGTGGCTCGGGCTTTGAAGATTCGGGGAGATGAAGGTGCACAGCTTATAGTATCAGTGTTCCGAATTCGGAAGGCCCTGACCGTCCCTGCAGATGTACCCAGGGACATAATAGTGGTGACATGGGACATTTCTGTCAAGACAACACTCCTGGTCCACTTCAGAAACAACCGCACCATGTGGACAATTGTCATGCAATGTGTGTGGGTGTGAGAGGTGCTGTGTGTGTGTGTGTGTGTGTGTGCGCCCGCGCGCGTGTGTGAGAGGGATCCTAAAATTACTTTGCCAGCGATTTTATACAATTATGGGCAAAGTAATTCCAGAATCCCTGACTACTAAAGGCTAGGTAGAGGAGACACACTTCTAAGAGGGTAGAGAAACCTCAGATATCCTGGCCAAACTCACAAGAGACAGGTTAGCATGGCAAAGGAAGACATTTGAGACCATGAAAAAAAAATCACAAGGACTTCAAATTACAGAATCTGTGTTAAACTGTATCAAATTTTAAAATGTTTCACAACATTTAATAATGTAGGTAATCGATCATGATTGTCTGCTGCAATGATTGGTTTTGATAAGCATATGTTTATCTCCTGACTGTAATTGTCAGTTTTGGCAGATTTCCCAGAAAACTGAAGACTTTACTAATATTTTTAAAATGTTAAAACTGTCATAAATAAAAAAAAAAATACTTTCTAATTATGAAAATGAAAATTTGCCAATTATTTTTAGACTACATGTAACAAGAGAAATAATAGTTAAATGATCTGGAATGCTCAATATAATGTTACACCATATGATGGTTTGTTTTGCTGTTGCAATATCTGCAAACCATATCTTCAGTTTTGTTAACCACAAGACTGAAATAGCCTGATGCTTAACACTGTGGAAAAGGATTTAAAGAGAAACAGTAAGCACCAAAACAACTTTAGCTTAATAAATTTGATTTGATTCCTATAAACTTAATGTAAATGGAAAACATTTTTTTCATCTTTCTTTATTGCACAGTGTGTTTAATTTAGAATGACATATTTTCCTGCTCTGTTGATAGCCTGCAAGAGCCTTGTGTGTGAGTAAAGATAAAGGGTTAGACTTTTTGTATTTCACTACCGGAGATGGACAGACTATTTTAGATATAGAAATTGTTAAATGTCAGCTCAAAGTGAACCTGTTGCAGAACCTCAGAGAGAACCTTTTAACCTCGCTTCCAGAAATACATGTTGTTGGTTGTTGAATAAGTAATATCATGTTTATCTGATGTACTCTTGTCATGTTACTTTTTCTGTAACTTCTGTCTATAAATATATTTGTCTGACCCTTAATACACTGGTAGTAACCCAATTTGAAACGTTCGGTCCAAAAGTGAGGTGCATGGAATGCTTTGCCCAGCAGTGTAATTTGACCCCAACAGTGATCTTCCAAATACAAAATAAATACAAATCACATTTTTGTAGATATATCCCAAATGAAAACTTTCATGCATTTAATTATACATGTTATATCTAAAACATCTTTCAAAACTTGCAGTTCTCTTGTCTGCGGTCTTTGCAAGTCTTCACCTTCCAACCCCATCCAAACTGTCTATGGCTGTCTAATCAGACTGTTTAACATAAAGCAGGTCCTCTGAGCAAATGCTGCCTCTTAAGCTTAGCTCCAGTGAGCTAGCTAAACCAGAAAGTAACAGGACCGGTTACTTGTATCCATTTTAATTTATAAAAGTGTCAATTTCTTTTGAAATCTGCCTTTTTGAAAATTAGAAAAAGAGGTCACACTCCTCACACAAACATATAGTGTAAACAGGAGATTAGTACGTAATAGCGAGATTGCGTAACTACGCACGGCATGACACGTTTCGCCTCTTCTGACTTCCTCAGACCACACCCCTCGGCCAGTGTCCATCATTATTTAAAGCAGCCCAGTGGGCGTGCTTTACTTCAAATGTCCGATATTCTGAACATTTGATTGGTTAGTTACACAATCACGTCACATTGTCACTAACTCCGCCTACCGTTATGAACGCAATAGCTCGGGAATAAAGGAGTGCCGGCAACTGGTATTACCGAGGACTTTTTGGAAGTTCATCTGTAGGACTGGTGAGACGAAAGGGTTTAAGACGTGCCTTGTTGATTTTAAATGAATAAAGCTTGCTCAATTGGATCTCGGCTGTCCATCGTCTTTCTGCAGCTAAGACTTGATATTGAATATATATCTAAAGCGCATATAGCCTAAGCAGTCTCTTACCTGCTCTACGTTTGTGAGTGCCATATACATATCTGGTTCTTCTTATATTTGCTGTTTATACAGTATTACACAATATGTTTTTTTTTTATTATTGCAATTAGTTTACAGTACAATAAAAAAAAAATCACGTTTGACAATAGAATGAGTCTTGTAGTCATTTACAAACAAGAATTGGTAACAATGTTCTCTCGTTAGGTACACGTAAACTTTCTTATGTTAAGATAAACAAGTTAAAGGTATATAACATAAAGCAGTGTGATATGAACCGTTTCTGAGTACGTATAGCAATTGTAAGTGGGAGTCGTCAGGTTATGTAATCGGTTACGCTAGTCTGAGAGATAGCATGTCACTCAGAGCCTATAGCTAGAGGGGTTACTCCCTGTGGGTTGGGGTGCGCAAGCCCCCTTGAGGTGTGCTGCCGCTGCTGCCTGAGGGATGGGGTAGGCGAGTGTTAACTGGTTTTAACTAAGGTGCAACCCTTAGCCAAGGATTGAATATGGGTTAGCAGTTTCAGAGGGTAGTGGTAGATCTCCTGTAGCACTCATCTTTTATGTCTCACACATTAGTGTCTGTGACTTATTACAGCTTAGTTGGAGTAAGTTATGGTCATCCACTGATATATTCTCACATCTGTTTGTGGACAGGGGTGGGGGCTCCCCTCTACACGATCTTGTGAGTTAAGTACGAGATGGTGTCTGCATGAACTTCAGCCAGGGTTCCCAGGTTTGAATGTATCTAGCATACAAGTTGGTGAGGGAGAGATTTATTTCGTTCATCAGTCTTATTGACTCAGTTTTTTGGACCCACTCTCTTACTGAAGGAACGTCACTCTTTTTCCAATATAGTGGAATGAGAGTATTTGCCACCGTCAGGAGATGGGATATGAGGCACTTCTGTAATTTGGGAAGGTGCACGGGGAGTAATAGAAAGATTGTTACTTTAGGGTCCATTGGCAAATTAATGGTCACAATCGTTGCAATCATTGCGAGGATGGTTTGCCAGTATTTTTGGATGATGGGGCATGACCACCAGATGTGTCCTGCTGTGCCGTTGGGCTGGTTACAGCGCCAACAGTCATTAGAGGTAGTGGGGAAGAGATGTTGTATACGTGAAGGTGTGTAGTGCCATCTAGATATCCTTTTATGGTTACTTTCATATGAAGTATTGCTTATGGATGAATGGAACACATTAGTGAATATCTGCGTGCATTCCGTGTCTGTGATTTTTAACTGTAGGTCATTTTCCCAAGAGGTTATGTATAGGGGGCGAGGTGTGGAGGTGTCTCGTTGGAGAGTTTTGTACATGGTGGAGAGGAGTCTAATTTTTGTTTTGCGGGTCTGACACATTATTTCAAATTGGGTTTCATCCCTTGACCCTTTCATTAACATTGGGTGAGTGAATAGAAAATGTATGAGTTGGGAGTAATTAAACCTTTGCATGTTGGTGGGTTCTGCATCAGGTATAATGTCCGTTAGGGGCTTAATGCCCTTGTTGTTGATCAGCCTACTCAAGGTTAGATAGGGTGAATCATGAAGTGTGTGGAATGTGGCGCAAGCCATACCCGGCTGAAAGTGCGGGTTATGTGTTAGAGGGAAGAGGGGCGAGAGGTGTTTTGACAGACTAGTCTCCAAATCCGTTGCCATACTTTCAATGTCGGGGGTATCGTGGGGTGAGATGAGTAATGTGATTTTAGGAATGCGGTGTCCTTATTACATACCAGGGGATGTTATGTAATGGTACCGTGAATCCCAGGCTTTCCAACTGGACCCAATGGGCCTCACTGGAAATGAAAGTCAAGTCATATATTCTCATTAGGATAATCGCTCTGTGGTATTGTTCTATATTTGGAAGTCCAAGACCTCCTCTGTTTTTGTGTACAGTCAGGACTTTGTATGATATCCTAGGATGTTGTTGGGACCATAAGAATGAGCAAAAGAGCTTTTTGATTGTGGAGAAAAATGAGTCAGGGATGCTAATTGGTACCGTCTGTAGTGTGTACAGTATTTTAGGGAGTATAGTCATCTTTAATATGTTTATACGACAAAGCCACCCAAACATCGGTTTATTCCATGCTTCCAAATCTTTTGTGATAGCCTGGATGAGAGGGGGATAATTAAGTTCATATAATTTGGCTAGGTTCTGTGGTATTTGGATCCCCAGGTATTTTACTGTGTTTGTTGCCCAGGCAAACTGATATTGTGTTTGTAGTAGCTTTTTAGTGTGTTGGTCTAGGTGGATTGGGAGGATTTCGCTTTTTGTGATTAACTTTAAAATTGGACATGTAGATAGTTAGTTTTTCCAGTAATGAGGGCATGGAGGTTAGGTGATTCATAATGGTAAAGAGCAGGTCGTCTGCGAAGGCCGCTAATTTGTTTTGTTTCGTACTCCCTGTAGGAATGGTTCTAAGGTATAAATAAAAGCGGGGAAAGGGTGCACCCCTGTCTCATGCCATTCCTGATGATCACAGGCTCCGATAGTTGCCCATTAATTCTTATCCGTGCATGTGGGGTTGAGTAGAGGGCCGTTATCCAGTTCAACCAACTGGGCCCAAAACCCAGAAGTCTCAGGGTTTCCGTCAGCAGGGACCAATCAACCCTATCAAAAGCTTTTTCGGCATCTATGGATAGTAAAATACTCTGAGTCGATTGGGATTGTGCTAGGTGTATGAGATTCACGATTTTTGTGGTGTTGTTTTTTGCTTCTCTCGTGGGTAAGAAGCCCGCATGATCAGGGTGGATGAGTCCCTGCAGCAGAGGTTGTATTCTGTTGGCCAGTATTTTATAAAGATCTTAAGATCTACATTAATTAATGAGATAGGCCTGTAGCTACTGCATTCAGTGATGTCTTTCCCCGGCTTAGGGATTAATGTGATGTGTGCCTCTAGGGATGCGGCGGGCAGTGAGGATGATTGTCGTATATGATTATAGGCCTCAGTGAAAGGTTTTGCTAGTATTGGTGCGAATGTCTTGTAGTATTTAGCTGTGTAGCCGTCAGGGCCAGGGCTTTTCCCTAGAGGCAATGACTTGACTGCAGCTTGGAATTCCTCTATTAAGATTGGTTCATCTAGGGTCTGTGTCATGTTGTTAGGTATTGTTTGGGAAATTCTAGTGGATAAATAGTCTTGGATATCTGATTTGGTTGGTGGTTCGGATCGTAAATTATATAGATTTGTGTAATATTCCTGGAATGTTGTGAGAATATCCAGTGGGGGTTCGGATTTTTGGGATAAAAGTAGTCAGCCTGGTTATTTGTAGCATTTTGGCCAGTAAGCAGCCACATTTACCTCCCTGTGAGTAGTATGTATGGTTGGTGCTAAGGAGTTTACGTTTAACTTGTAAGTTAAGAAGTTGTTGCAGGGCCGATCTTTTCTCTGTCAATTTTATGTATGTGTCGAAAGAGTGGGAGGTTTTGTGACTGTCCTCTAAGCCTCTAATCTCTTGTAGCAACATAGACATTTGGGAGTCCCTCTGTTTTCTAGTTTGAGATGCTATCTCTATCAATTGTCCTTGCGTAACGGGCTTGTGTGCCTCCCATGTGGTGGTGGGTGTTACTCGTGAATGAGTGTTTTCCCGGAAGTAGTTCCGGAGTATATCAGATACGCGGTTAATAACTTTGTTATCGTTCAATAGAAGATTATTAAGTTTCCACTGAAACATTTTGGGAGGTAGAGAGGGGATCTGAATGGCAAGAGACAGGGGCGCGTGGTCAGACCATGTAATTGGGCCATATTGGCAGGAGCGTATAAGATGTAAAAATCTGTGGGGAAGAAACAGCATATCCAGTCTGGAATATGTACCTGTGGCCGGTGAGTAGTATGAGTAGTTCTTGGCATGTGGGTGTGAGATACGCCAGCAGTCAAAGAGTTGGGCACTATCTAGCACAGAGCTTATTCGTTTCCTGGCTGGTGCTTGGTATGTGGATGTGTCAGCTGTGGTGTCTAAAGTGGAATCTATAAATATGTTCAAGTCTCCACCCATCAGCAGGATGTCCTCTTATGTTGACTCAATAGTTCTGAGGTATTTGCTTTCTATTTGTTAAGTAGAGGTTGGCTAATGTGACTTTTGTCTGGCCTATGAGGCCCTTAACTATCAGGAGTCTCCCCTCTGTGTCTGATTTATGGGATGTATAGGTGAATGGTACTTGGGAGGATATCAATATGGCCACCCCTCGAGATTTAGCCCCCGAGAAGTTACTAGAGTAGCCGGATGTGTATTTGCGGTTGCAGAGAGAGGGTGTGGTATCACCCCTGAAATGCATCTCCTGCACAAAGACTATATCTGCATTCAGTTTTTCAAATTCTCGAAGTGCCAGTGTGTGTTTTTCAGGAGTGTTGAGACCCCTAAAATTAAAAGAGACCACTCGAAGGGTAGCCATATTGTGGTTGGAAGAAAAATGTGGCAGGCAGTAGCGGCAAGACAAAACAAAATAAATGAACAACTATTTACAATGCAATTACTAAAACAGATGTAAAACAAGATAACAGTTGGGTACAATTCACTGTGGGTGTGACAGTGGTTTGGTAGTACACCTTCGGTGTATAGCCCAGGTTGGCAAAAACCATGGCAACTGTGGGTTGTTTAATCACCACAAATGTGGTCTTCGCGACCAAGTGGGGGGGGATTGATTCCGCTAGGGATACTGTTATGTATCAAAGACAGAATATGTACCCGTATCCTCGTCGTGATATCTAAAGAAAAAGGTCAAGAATTGTTCCAGCTATTCCTAACAGCCTTAGTCGGTTCACTGCATTTTGGGCATGGGGTAGTTTGGTTGTCTCGTTGCACGAGACCGGTTTATGTGAGATATTTATCTCCTAAAAGGGGGGCTAGGTCACCCGAGAGAAGGGAATTAGTAAGTATCTGATAGACATAGGGTCTATCGATTGCCCGTTGAAGTGAGTCTGGGTGGCAGACTTTATGTTTACTCAATGCGAAGCCTGAAATCTATTCCCACATACAACCCGCTATCTTGGCATTGTAGGACTGCAACCTCAGTGGGTTGTTATGGATGGGGAAGATGACTGGGTGTGTACCGTTATTCATTATCCTTTTTGTGTTATTATTATTTCATTTAGTTTTTTTTTGGTGTATTCTTTATTTTTACCTTTTTTTTCCTCTTAACTACACTTCATCCTCTACCCTCAGTTTTAATCCTCTTAACCCACCCTCCCGCTCCCGTAATCCTGTTAAGATTGATATGGGTAAGCCTTGAGTCAGGGGAGTAGCTATACATATGATTAATTACATCGTTATGAGATCCCTAGCCAATGCCTGTCTGGTAAACACTGTGCATAGCAAAATCGACATAGTTCTGGCTGGTAAAGATAAAAGCTGTTGGTAACTGTAGGGGACAGGTAAGAATGAAAGAGGGAGGGGGTTATAGGTAGACGCATGAAAGCCAGAGGAGAAATAGAGGAGGGAAGTAGCTGTAGACAGGTAGGCAGACATGTCAGTAGGGTGAGGTCTTACAGCACAGGGTATGCACAGTTCAGTATTAGCACTTCAACTGTGAGTGTTGCATATTGTCCATTCAGCAGGTGGAGTGGGAAGTTTTTTATTCCGTTGGGCTTGTCAGATATGATTGTCCGTCGATTCCCCTAGCTGGTAATAGAGCAGGTTCGGGAATTTGTGCGTTTGGCAGCTTTTGTTCGGGAATTTGTGTGTTTGCTCTTTACTGTGTCTTGGAGGTGTTTGGTGAGTGCCTTGGTCCTTGAGAGGCATCGGCTTGGTAATTTCTCCTCCTTTTGGATGGTGTTTGCAGCGTAGGCGTTGCGGCATCTGTCCCATAGGCAGTTGTGTTTGAGGTCTGTTCCAGTCTGTGATCTGTGCTTCCTGCAGGTCAAGTGCCTACGTGAATGTGGCTACGTCCAGAATAGAGGCCATTGTATGAGTGGTGCCCCTGTGAGTGGCTATCAGAGCAAAAGGAAATCCCCACCGGTATTTTATATTTCGTGCCCCCAGCAGGTCAGTAATAGGTCTCAGGGACCGTCCCGCTTGCAGAGTGGACAAAGACAGGTCTAGGTAAAGCTGGATGGGCGAGCCATGAAACAGTAGCGGTTGTGAGTTCTGATGCAGTGTCTGTAGTATGTCCTCCTTGCATGCATAATAATGCAATCTCCCTAGGTGAGTCTGTTGCTGCCCCTCTTGGTTTCAGCGTTCTATGGGCCCTGTCCAGCATTACAGGGGTGTCCAGCGGCCTATCCAGGATTAGATTAAACAATTCTGTTAATGTTTTCTGTAGTTCCTCCCTTTCCTGTTCAGGCATGCCTTTTATGCGCAGGTTGTTGCGCCTCCCACAGCTATCTAAGTCATCCATGGATCTATGCAGGGAGGACAGGTAAGTATTATGTGTGTGGATTGTGGCTTGGAGCTGCTGAACTTGGGTATGTAACAGATCCCTATAGTTTTTAAGGGTAACCACTCTGTCTCCTACCTGTCGCATATCTGCTCCCAGGGCCTCCATTTTGGATTGGAATGACATCTCCAGCTTGCCCAGCATAGTGGCTAGATCAGCCTTTGAGGGTAGGTTCCTGATAGCCTCCCTAATATCCATGTCATGTGTGTAGAGAAAGTCCCTTGAATCTTCCGGGCTGGATGGTGCTGAGCCCTGTTGGGAGGATTCCGCCATATCGGGGCCTAGTGTG